CCTGCAGGCGGGGCTGGAGGTGGAGCGGCTCCGGGTGCGGAACTTCTATCACCACTTCCACTCCAAGCGCGGGATGTGGGGCGTCCGCAGCCACAGGGCCGCCCGCAAGGCGGCCCCCTGAGGACCAGCGGCCCCTCCCAGCCCCGGCCGCCGTCCTGCCCGGACTCTGGGGACCCGGCGGGGCTCATCCGGGGGCACGGCCACCACCCGTGCCTGCCCCTCTCTGTCCCCCCAGGCTGCTGCCCCCTCTGTGGCCGCCCCCCCCCGAGAGGCGGCCGTCGTAGCCGGCGGGGCCTGGGCTTGCCCCCCACGCCCTGTGCGATGATTTCTGTGAAATTTTGCCGTAGCAATGACATTGTTTCAGGATTTCCAAGAGTTCTGTCTGTTCCGTTTTTTATTCAGAATGAAATGAAATATTTTTTTTAGTTCTGACTCATCCTCTGGGCCTGGTTCTCTTGGGAGGGCAGAGGTGGGCCTGGGCGGCAGCAAGAGACCCTGTACCCGCGGTGGCCCTGGGCACTGCCTGCTGCTAACTCCCTTTCCTGACCTGAGCTGCGGCCGCCGTGCTGACCGCACCTTTCTCCACCCTCGAGACCACTCACCTCTTCCCACACTTTCCCTTTGAGCTTCTGTATCGGCCCTGAAGGCAAGGGGGTTTGGGACCCTCCTCGCCACCTGTGCGTGGAGCCGCCAGTCACCAGCGTGGCGTGAGGCCTTTCCACCTGCAACCGTCTGCTTAGTCCCCTTTGTTGTGAAAACAGACCTTGGATGTCAGTCCTGCCCCACCCTCCTCAAGGATGTGGGAACACTAGGCACCCCGGGGTGGCGGCTGACATGCCACGACCAGGTTGGCGTATAGTTAGGACTCAGTTGCCATAAATGGAAAACCCAATGCACACTGGTTTAAACACAACGGGGGGTTTGCTTGACTTGTCTCGTGGAAGTCCAGGGTCAGGAGCCCCCTGGAGAGTCAGACGGGCTGGATGATGCTGTCGAGGGCCCCCCCTTCCCTGGGGTCCCAGTCATGGCAGGGAGGCCAGTGCTCTGCCTGGCACCGGGCGCGCCTGCCCATATGAGTTCCTTGCAGCTGCTGTAACAGGTTTCCACAAACAAAATGGAATTTCCTGTCTTACGGCTCTGGAGGTCGGAGGTCCTAAAATCGAGGTTTCCACAGGCCTGTGCCCCTTCTGGGGGCTTTAGGACTGAATCTGCTTCCCTCCTTCCCCAGCTCCTGGAGGCCACCTGGACTTCCTTGCTCATGGCCTCTTCCTCCATCCTCAAAGCCAGCAGCTTACCATTTTCATATCATTCTCCCTGTCTCTCTCACACCTCTACTACCATCATCACATCTCCTTCTCTGGCTCTGACCCTCCTGCCTCTCTCTTATAAGGACCCTGGGATGACCCTGGACCCACCCACATAACCGAGGATAATCGCTCCGTCCCAAGCAACATCCTTAATCTGCGAAGTCCGTCTTGCCATGGAGGTGACAGCCACAGGCTCTGGGGATTAGGGCATGGACATCTTTGGGGCTGTTACTCTGTACTGCCTCATTCTGTGGGACGGCAGCACGTCCGCCCAGCACTCCAAACAATCCTCGCAAGATTTACCTTGCCATGGACACAGGGCAGCAGGGAGGATTTCAGGGAAAG